TTTCTTGAGTTATATGACCAAGATATTTCACCGAATTGGCTGCTAAATTACACTTTTCAAAGTTTAACTCTAACGTTTGAAACCTTCCTCTACAATCACCTGTAAAAGTCTCTCAACATGTTTAACATGGGTTTTCCATGATTTTGAAAATACCAATATGTCATCAATATAGTTGACGCAAAATTCATCTGAATTTCTTCTTCTTATGATGTTAGAAAGAATCCGTAGAAATATTGCAGGTGCATTTTTAATTCCAAAAGGTAGAAGCTTAAACGCAAATTTGCTGAACTTAGTTATGAATGATGTTTTCTCTTAATTGGTAAATGGTTGACTGTCGTGAATAATGTAGAGAAGAATAGTTGAGGTGATCAGCCAATAAGAAGGTAAAAATAAATGATACTATTTATTTTGACATTAGCCAACTTTTCGACATCAAGTTCAGGCTATCATCAGGGCTAAGAAAAGAACCAGATAAGTATTAAAATGGGAATCTTAGAATAAAATGTAAAAACAGAAAAATATGAAGTTACATAAGAAATGGAAATAAACAGTAAAAATATGATATTGTGAATAGAATAGTTAGATAGAAAATTGAGATGTTGTAAAGTCTATCAAAATGTATAGACAACGTATAATATAATACAGAGTTAAAACAGAGCAGAGGGATGAAAGGAAGGAGGAAGGAAACTGAGAAGGCTGAAATAAGAAAGAGAATAAGAAAGAAAAATAAAAATAAAGAGAAGACCCACCTGATTACGGAGATGTAAATCTAAGCAATGAGAGTGTTAGTCAGGGTGGGGGTGGAGAGAAGGGATGTATAGTGGCGTCATCTCCAACGGTTATCTGACGAAGTTTGAACTAAAGTAGCGGAAGCGTAAATAAGGACGAGAGATATATTCATAAATATTAAGGATAATTAAACGAAAGTTAATAGAAAGAGGCAATAAAATAGTTTAATATAAAATAAATTTATAATAAATAAATAATTTATAGATTATAAATAAATTTAAATAGTGGATAGAAATTCTGGAGAGGCAAAAATATTAAATTAGTGAATAATTTTCTCTTTGTGATATCCCAACAGTATCCACTTACAATTAGTGTGACAACTTTTGACCTGTCTATGACAGACATTGCAAATATCGTAATTCCATTTTAGTAAACTTTGCGATGGAAAATAACATTTCAATAACTAATAGTCGTATAATCCACAATCAAAGAATCGTACAATTCATAATCAACGGATAGTACAATCCAAATAGGATTTTTGTTATTTTAATGGTATTTATGATTTGTTAGCTTTAAGCTTTAGCTCGGTTAAAAATGCAATAAAAAATTTTATAATAGCCCAACATGGCCAGAAAATAAATTCTATTCAAGGTTAAGCGGTAAGTGAAAGTTGTGTGTTGCGCACACCAGATTTTTAGTAACGTATGGAGCTTCCATTGTTTTCCTATTGCTGTTATTTTTTCCATATTTAAAATTTTTGGAGAGAGAAATACTTTGTTGAAATTAATGGTGCCCTACTACATAGGGTTGCTTTACACAGCATACTAATCAATCCACATGGACATAGCTCTTACATTATATTATTCCATTATTTTACAAACATATTATTTTTTTTTTCTCCCTTTTCACAACACTGGTCACATATACAATATCACTAATATACCACATTAAACAATTCATTATATAACACAAACATTTTCTGAAAAAAAAAAAAAAGTATTCGAATGCTAGAAATACAAGACTAAATTGCACACACATATACAACACAATTCCATCAATATAGATAAAAAGATAAGACAAAGATAAAAATTAAAATTGAATAAATAAATTTATAACAAATTTATGTTTTTTTTGGTCGAGAGGTGTAGTATTCATATTTGTGTTATAGTTGCAATTTTCCTGATCTTGAGCCATTCTGGTACTAACTTTTTCGGAAGATTCTTCTATATAAATCTTGTTATGCATCAATGTTGTTTCCCACAAGTTTTTTAGTAAGACTTTCTGTACCAGTACCTTTTAGTGACCGCATCATATTTTATTTTACATATACAAAGTGGGATGTACCATAACAAAGATACCGCACTTCTTATTCACAGAATTATTTGTCCCTTATTATGGTTAAAAATTATCCGTGGGCGGGGTGACCGAACTGGCTAACGTTTGTGCACAGCACCGCCGTTGCTCGGCAACCTGATCTATGAGACAATGGATTTAAAATAGTCACGAGTTCGCGTCCTGGTGTCGGGGGATTCTTTTAAATTCCTGCCCATGCCCCCTGGCCCGGGAAAACCCCGTATAGCCTTTTAAAGGCGATGAAGGGGAGGACAAAAAAAAAAAAAATAAAAATGAAAAATAAAAAAAAGGTTGAAAATTATCCATAAGAATAATTTTAATTATATAAATTGGCAACAAGGCGTGATGTATAATATAGATTTTAAATCAATTAAAAATTTGTCCGAATTGTAGTTTTGTTTAATTTATTTTATATTGATAAAAAATAATACAATCTGTACTGTAGAATATTTGTAAATTAGTCTTACAATTTGAGTAGTAAAATTAAATGAACAGTTGTATAATTTGTAAAATGGGGTTTGGTCTGCCATTAGATTTTTTGTTGTTTTTATAATGTGGAATTTAACAAAAAAATATATTTTTGCAACATAGTGATTTGCTCTGTTATTTCTTAAAAAGTATCTCTCATGAGATAAATGCAGCAAAAGATATATATTTTTATAGGTGGAAGTACCTGGCGAAAATTATGTAGGGGATATCTTTTCTGAAATGAATAGTGCATTGTTTGTCTAGAACTAAGAGGGCTCTTATTTCTCCCTCTAATTTGGAGCTGTCAAAAGTTTGAAGATAGAAAATTAATTCATTTATAGTATTTCACAATCATGTCCCATAATTTCATTTTTTTGGTCTCGTGTTATACCATGTAATATAAAAGTTTTGAAATGTATTTCAAATAGAATTATAATTGATTTTATTATAGAGTTTTGTTAATCTACAGGTAGTAATGAAATGATAAGTAGTCTACTGATTGAATTTGGAAAAATCAGGAAATTTCAGTTTAAAAATCTGAAAGACAGAGAATTTTACAAGCAAGAAGATATTTGAGTGAACTTGCTGTTAGATTTTATAATCATTATCAGTCAAAATAAGTTTACACAATAATGATATACTAGTGTTCGGCCAGTGGTCGAAATTCGACCATAGCCATTAAAAATTTGAGGAAAATATATAATTAAATTAAAAAATAAAGTAAATAAATAAAGAGTAAATCACGATTCAAAAATCCTCATTTATTAATACAACAAAATTTCAATTTCAATTAAAAATCGAGCTTAAGTCATTTAAAATTATTTATAAGTAATAAAAAATAGACTCATTCAAAAATAATTAATTTTCATTTTAATTTATGTGTGTTATTATCACAATAAATTAATGTTATGATTAAGCAAGTAAAAATTAAATTTAAATTAGCAATTTAAATTCACTTTAAATCCATTTTTATTCAGAACTTCTATGTAAATAATGTTCTTTTTGAATGTTCTGTTATTGTTTAGTGCATAGCCATGCCCATTGCCATTGAAAATATAAATTTCAATATTTTAAATGAACGTGCTCTAATTGCTGCCACATATAATTGTCCATGCGAAATTACTGGACGTCACAATAATACACACATTTTTCCAAAACTTTTATCCTGCGATTTGATTATGGTCATAGCAAATGCAGCTATTAATAGGAACGTTGTTCTTTGAAAGTCAAATGTAAATATAGTGTCAGAAAATGTTAAATTAATTCTTGGAATTAAAATTCTTTAATTTAAAGTAGCCCCGTTAATACTTCAGTCTCATTCCTGTTCCATTAACTAATGCTTGTGCAGTATTTAAGTTAACAATGAGTATAACTATAGAATATATTTTTAAATTTAATTTATGAGGTATCATTCCACTAACATTACATGATATCATCTCTTCGAAAAATAGACAACAATTTCCTCTCATCTCTGCAACAATTACCTCAGTAAATGAAAAGTTTTCGATTTATCAAAAACCAAAATAAAGGAAATCGAATTTGCAAAAGTACTAAATGTTTAAAATGATATATCTCTGCAACAAATAGTCCGATTTCGATGATTTTTTTTTTTTATTTTGTAGGGAATTAAGGAAGCTTTCAAATAAATATTGGTATTATCAATAAAAAAATGTGTACTTTTTGAGTTATTCGCAAATAAAATACTGAATTCATCATAAAAATGTATGCAACTTGTTTTCGGGAAAGTATGTTATATACATAAATTATAAAGGTTTCAAGAGGAAGACTTTAGCCAAGTTTCATTGAAATCATTGAAGCCGTATTGGCGCTACAGTCTAAAGGGAATCATGTATTTGGCCGCCATTTCGAAAGGAAAGGCTAGATGATAATGAAACGTATACAAAAAACTTCTAAATATTATTGTGACGTTGTGTCAAAATTTAAAAGAAATCGGTGAAGAACTTTCGGAGATAAGCCGTTTTGAACAAACTACCATTTATATTTTTGTTTATATACTATTTAATATTTTTATTTATTGATAACACTAAAGCCCACCAATATCTATTAAAAAAAAAAAGAAGGAAGAAAATCGGTTGAATAATAGAGGAGTAAAGGGGCAAATCGGTTGAATAATAGAGGAGGAAAGGGGCTGAACCGATTTGTGTTTGCCTATTTATATAATGATTCATCAGTATAAATATGGCATGTTAAATATATCACAATATGTTAATAAATTTTTATGATAGGCAATAATTGATATTATTATGGGAGTTCAAAGAATTTCATCCTTCTCATGTTGATTCATGTTTTACATATGACAGTATTAAAACACCACATAAATTTTACAAAGTGTATTCATTTTTCTTTTTTAATGTATAATTATAAGTACATTTTATATGCTATTTGAATTTGAGTTTGTTTTCATAATTTCTTTTTTTTTTTTTAAATAGGCACCCATTAACGATGCTACTGCTGTGACGGGATTTATAGGGTTAAAATTAACTACACTTAGACCACATTTGATCCGTGCTATGTTAGAGGGAATAGTTTATAGAGTCTTCCATTTGTTTAAGTCTTTGTATGGCGAAACTGACTTTAATCCTAAATTTATAAGGTAATTATGTTTTTATAAGTTTTATTACTGTTAATGATTTTTTTCATCTTTGTTTTACAGTGTGTCCAGCATCCTTGAATTCCTTGAAAATCTGAAACTATGCTTGAAAAACATTCAGCCGCCAGGAATTTTTTTAATTTTTTTTTTTTTTTTTTGTCGAATTAAATTTTCCTATTGATTCTGAGCATAGACTCCTCAAAATTTCAACTTTTGGGGGTGAAATATTGCGCCATTTTAAACGAACTTATGGCATAAAGTTAACGAAACTAGGTTGTTTAGAGAACACAGGAAACATTGTCAGCCAATCTAAAATAGTCGATTATACTGAGCAGATGTGACTCAAAATCCAACTTTTGGGGAGTGCCTTTTCAATCCCTCCCTCTGGGATTTTATCACAAAACACATTTTATGGAATTATATACAATTGCATTTCATAAATTATAAAAAAAAGTAGGTACTTTGTTATGTAAAATAAATTTATGAATATATAAAATATGTCAGTGAATTTTATTTAAAGTTCGTGAATATGTAAAATAAGTTCATGAATATGTCAAAAAGATTTGTGGAATTTACTCCGATGCATGAATTTTATTTATTTATACTTTAAATTATAGTTTCTGTACTGTATTTTCTATTTTTTTTTTTTTTTTTTTATTTGTGATGTATATGTATAATTTGTGCATTATAAAATAATGCATTTTGTAATTCCTCAGTATAATAGCCCAGTCAAATTAGACATGTTACCTTGCAAAAGGTCGGATAATACAAATTTCTTTTTTATATCGTTAGGTATGTAGTGAATATAAAAATCCAAGTTTCTGCCCTTGAAAGCCTATGGGTTCGCTGCAGTGCTCCGAAAACCATTGAAATTTCTAATGTTTTTTGGTTTATGCTAAATATCTCTTCTTAAAGTGGCATAGATAAAAAATGGTTGTATTGAGTCTTAAACAGCTTAAAATTATCTAACATCTTCGTACATAAAATTTATTTCTAAACACTACAGGAAGCGAACTATTTAACTTTCAAAATGAGTAAAGTTTTGGGAATTCCCAAAAAACATGCATCAGTTTTGAATAGAGGGACTCTGCAACTACATTTTGAACCTCGTCCACAGTATTTGCAGGTTTTCCTTGAAGATAATGAGCCATTAATTGGAATGGTAGACGGTAGTCAGGAGTTGTTTTAAAAAGTATGCAACAAGGTGGGCCCGACCCCCCTACCATGCACACTCTCTCCACATCACAATAAATTGCATATATTTGTGTTCCATGTAACTATTTATTTAAATAAAAGCCAATGTTTCCACCAAAAAAAGTGGCTGCACTGTGCCAAAATGGTAAGGTTGGACGATAGTGGATAGTTCAGTAGTAACTGACCCAGACTTAAAGATGATTTATTTTCGCTGTATTCTTTAGTTACTTACTGTAAGTAACCGATAGGGCTATCGATATTTTTAAACTATCAATATATTGATAGTACTATTGACTATCACCCATCCCTATAAAACGGCGTTTAAACATGGCAAATTGACGACTTTGACGTGAGTTAGTTTTTCAATTTTTGAGTTTCAGCATTTAGTTTAATTTTGTCAAAATAGGTCTTTTATTAAAGCTGGATAGTCAGAGAATAATAAAACATCAAACAAATTAAAAAAAAAAAATTTGCCTTGGCTATAAAAAAGACAGGTAAAGTCAATTTTTTTAAGTCATACTCTCCCAGAGTATACAATTAGATTTCATGGTGTGATGTTCGATTAGCTGTTCTTTTCTGTCCTGATGAGTCCTGAATTGGCAAAAAGTTGAGGGGATTTTTCTTTGCCTGCATTTTGGAGACATAAAAGCTGTACCTGGATTCGTCAGAAAACCAATCAGAGACCAAATCATCTTCTGATACAAATGAAATATTGTTTTTAAAAAAAAAAAATCAAAACCAATGTGATTGAGCAGGTGACTAAAGACAAACTAATATGAGAACCACATTTTATTGTAATACTTTTATCATTAATCCTAGTGAGAATCATGAGATTTTCTTGAAACTGTTAATGCATGGTAATCCCCTTTGACCTTTCATATACCTGTTATTACTTCAGGCGGAAGTCTGGCTTTGGCCATGTACTGTGTTAGATCAGCTTTGCACTTATCTTGTGTTTGAAAAGTTGTACTGAGCCAATCAAAGTGATTTTTGACATGCTAGTGCAGTTTGTATTACAGAATACTAAATTCAAATTTTGAGCTAGATACATCAAGAATTTAAGGAGATATGAAGATGTTAAGGAGAAATATTTTGCAGTAAGTTGCCATTCCCCTTATCTCTTAGTATCGGCAAGATATATTTTCCCAGCCCTCATCGCTACTTCGCTAGATACTTTACGGTCAAGATTAATCAGTCGTGTTTGTTATTATCGCCAATATAAATTATTTAAATATAATGACAGTCACTAACGAGGATTTGTTGGAGATTACCAGGTTGGAGGTAATTACAAACAATCTAAAAGCTCGCTTAACAAAATATCAATAATTCTTGAATCTTTAGTGGCTGAAGTTTCTAATTTTCTGAGGGAAAAACATTTGGAACAAGATGAAAAAAAATAGTTTCTTAGAAAATGAGATAAATTCCTTAAAGAGAGAAAGAATAAAAAACAACTTTTTAATCTTTAATCTGCCCTATTCGGAAAACGAGGAAGTCTCTACAAAAGTAGTTAATGTTTGCCAGGAAGTTAATGTCGAACTACCAATATACGCCATTAATGAATGTTTTCGAATTAGTAAAGGTAGGAACCAATCTTGGTTTTCCTTAATAATTATAACGTTAAACAAGCAATAATGAAAAGAAGAGACGACTTAGCCCAAAATAATTATAGAGTAAGCCATGACAGGTCCAACCTTACCATTTTGGCACAGTGCAGCCACTTTTTTGGTGGAAACATTGGCTTTTTTTAAAATAAATAGTTACATGGAACACAAATATATGCAATTTATTGTGATGTGGAGAGAGTGTGCATGGTAGGGGGGTCGGGCCCACCTTGTAGCATACTTTTTAAAACAACTCCTGACTACCGTCACTGGAAGAAAGAAACATTTTTAGTTGTTGAAAGTTTTAGACGTACATACAGAAGGGGTTTTTCAAAGTTAGGAGCAATTTAATCGTCTGAAGGAGGTGAAAAATATGTTAGAAAATTCACCTACTATTGAGCAAGACAACCAATTGCAGAATAAAAGAAAGACGAATGAAAGATTAAAAGAGTTCGAGTTTCGGCCGAGATCTTCTTCACTCAGCAATCATTCTTCAGAAAAAGATTCGTGACTTCATAACCATCAACCATCAGAAAGTCTTTTGGACCTCCAAAATAATTTTAATTTTTCATTTAACTGTACTAACAGTACATATAAGATAATATTTAACAATATCAAAGGTTACCACAATTTACTTAACATCAGTTCACTTTCAGATAATAATATTATAATGGCAAAATGTGTAGTAACAACCTGGTTAGCGACTGATAATTTTATCATTCCATCTTGGCTAAAAAATTTCAGTCCGTTTATTAGTAACACTGTTAAAATTAAACAACGAGGTTGGGCAAGTGGAGGCATCGTCACTTTCATAAGCAACACAATAATAAAAAATAATGGGAAAGTTACTGTTTTAGAAAATAGCCAATAAATGATCATACTTTCTTTTCAATTTATTAATGATAATGTATTTTTGGAAATGTTTATTTATCCCAGGACTATGATTTTGAAGAATGTCTGGAGAGCATTATTAGAATATTATGTAATTTCCTATCTAACCATCCTAATGCCAATATAATTTTGTGTGGGGACTCTAACAGGCACATTGGAGGTTGAAATAATTTAGAATCTGAATTGTTCCAAAACACAAATAGTTACGGAAACAGATTGGTAAAACAAGGGAAAATAAATGGGAGAGGAAAGCTGTTAGTTGAGGCAATGGAATCTATAGGACTACTAGTATGTAATGGAAGATGTCCATCAGACAGACCTGGAAAATATACGTATATCTCCAAAAATGGTAACAGTACTATAGATCTTATTTGGATAAACGAAAATACCCTACAAGTAGTTGAAGACATGGAAGTTTCTGTTCTTCCTTATTGTTCAGATCACTTATTGTGTATTATATCTATTAGCTTCTCACCTTAGCATGTTATAAAAATCTGTTAGCCAATTGAACATATAAGATGGGATCCGGACATAGTTAGGGACCTCCAAGTCTGTCTTCACAACTCCTGCAGGATATATTTTTATTCTAAAAATAGTGATGATTTGTACCAGAATTTCATTGAGTCGATGTATGAATCTTTAACGAACTGTGGGCTAATGGTAAATAAAAATAAATCATATCATGTTTTTAAAAATAAATGGTATGATAATGAGTGCCAAATAATTCTGTGTCAAAAATACAGAATAATGGTCAAAAATAATTATTCACAAGCTTTTCTTGACGCCTATCTTATTGTCATATATAAATTGAAGCATGTATTACTTTGAAAATAGCGGTGCATCTGGTTTACCTAAAGATGGCAAAAATGAAGTCCTAATGCTCCTATTGGCAGACGACATTGTAATGTTAAGTAACTTGTGGCATAGCACCCAAAAAAAAATTCAGATCCTTGAACAGTATTGCACACAAAATTCACTGGTCTTAAACACCGAAAAATCAAAAGTTCTGGTATGGCATAAGTCACCAAGAATGAAAAAATTAAAGTCACTATTTTGGCAAAATAAATCCCTGGGATTTACAAAATGTTATAACTACCTAGGAGTTCCATTTTCAAGATCGGCAAAATTTTCTAAGGCTGTATTATCTAAGTATCTAAGGGTATCACAAGTTGAAAAGTTAGCCGCTTCAAATTTCTAATCATAGCCGTTTTCTCGGATCCAAAGATATTAACAAAGAACAAAAAACTATTTTGACAGTTGTATCTAATAACTTATATTCTAAAGACATTGAATGTGCCTTTAATACCAACTGTAGTCACATCTATAAGCGAATTTGTTATCATTACTCAGAACTGCAAACTACCTCAAATTTATTGCCCCTCTAAGAAAGCTTCGAACAGTGGGTCGTCTGAGAGTTTTCAGTAATGACTGCCTGCCGCTGTATCATGGGAATATCGCTCATGTTTTAAGGGCTGAAGAAGTTTGTAAGCGGTGCGGTCACCTTATCACTGATAGCATAAAGCATTTGATCCTAGAGTGTTCGTTTGTTGTGATTCATAGAAAGAGATTTCTCGATAAATATATCAATGTGGGCACAGATGACTTATCATTGGAGAGAGTTTAGATATTAAAAGTCTTGAACACTTGAACAATGTGTTTTACTTTATTGTTCGTATTTTTGACTCCCATAGTTTACTTAATAACCAGTAACTTTAAAACTAATGATTATTCGTGTTTTAGTATATCATATAAATATAGCGCATATTTTCTTACCCGTTAAAATGGCAACAAATACATCGCATTATTGTGACCTAAAGAAGTATATTTAAGTTTATGTATCACTGTTTCTTATAAATTTTGTATTTTTTTTTCTGTTTATTTTGTAGTTGAATCTACAGTGAAACATAGTTTATATTGATCTGAACAATTTCTTTTATATTAATGTATTTATCTTTTTTCCTTCTTATATTGTCCTCATGTATTATATCATGTTTTATATTGTACCTGTTATTTACAAACTAACTACAACTAACATTGATTGGGCCAGACTCCATGGCTACGCTGTTTATAAGCCAATAAATATATAAAAATATATTACTTCAGGCTCAAAATTATTTCTTTAATATGCGGTTTTTATATCAAATTCAAGGTGCCCTGTTTTTTTTTACCACCAGTTTATATGATGTATATTGGAGAGTATAAATTGAGATGTTTTTGATAATGAGCAATTGGTCTAAAAAATTAAACATTAAAAAAAAAAAGAATTATCAAGGCTATTATATTTAACTTCTTAAAATGATTATTGGTTGAAAACAACAGCTATCTTATACTAAGATAAAGCATAGTCATTATTTATTAATCCTGTATGAAATATTTTAGGTTGGATGGCGGTGTCTCTGGTAATGAATTTGTCTCTCAGATGCTGGCTGATATTTTGAATTTACCTATTAAGAGATCTGAACGTGACGAAATCTCGGCTATGGGAGCTGCTTTTTTAGCAGGTCTTTGTTCTGGTAATATCAAGTCTTCTTTATTTAGAGCTTTAATAGCTTATCCATAGATAAATTTGTAGGGATTTAATAACTTAAGTATTCTTATCATTGAAATTTATTTTTGTTTATAATGTTTTTGGACAGCATTCAATATGTGGCTGGACAGTAAGGGGTTTATTGAGTTGAATCAATCTCTTCAAAAAGTTTGAAATAATGTTAATAAGTTGGTGTTTGCTAACTTGAAATGATGCATACACAAATGTTTAATTTTATTGAGCATACAATTATAGTTATGACTATCTTATGTTCTCAGGAGGGTCCTAGACATAATCGCAGCCTTTGGGGGAGGGGACAGGGGATAGCCATAGTCAGGGTTGGTACAATATGTTGGAACGATACCCTGGAAATTCCAGAGCGGAATACAGGTACACGGCAGTCTTGGGGTGAAGCAATGTTTTATTTTGGAAAATACCAAACTATGCATCCTAGGAGAGTGAAATGTAAAAGTATTCACTTTTACAATGGTGAATAGGGCCTTATTTATATTTGCAGCTGTGAATACGTATCATCTGTATTCATATTTATTTTTGTGAATATAAATATATTCATATTTATATTCATAAATGCCATAAATATAAATGGTATTCGTATTTATATTTTTGAATATAAATATACCCAGCTCTAATTTTAGCAACACTCATACAATGATCACTATCCATGTTTGCCCTTTTTTATGTTCTGACACATAGGAGGTTTAATTTATGACTTGTCTATCAATATATGATCAAACTGCTTAGTTGTCCACCCATCAGAAGATCTCAAAGTTGCTTTATAAATATCCTTTCTGGGGAAGAAAGTGCTTCCAATGATGAGACCATGTGAAGTAGCAAGACTGATAAATCTTTGACCATTGCTACGTTTGTGAAGACTACTATAAAGACCAGTAGTGGGTTGGTAACATATTTCTCTACCAACTTTTCTGTTAAAATCTCTTAGCAAAATCTTTGCATCATGATTAGGGCTCTTTCAAGGTCCCTATAAAACTGTTCCTTTTTCAATCCTGATCCATCAGACTTCCTGTACTGCTGCTAAATCAATTCTATAATGGTCCATTTATAAGGAGTGCTCGAAGCACTCCAAGTCTATGTAGTGATAAAATGTTCCAGTATCTAATACATAAGTCATTATGATCATTCAAGAGTCTTTTCCTTTGAGACAATTTGGCTGATACATTTTTTAGAGGTTTTGTGATTATTATTTTTAAAAGAAGTGAGTTCCCATGTTCCCAGATTAGGTGGAGGGGCTGCCTCCTCAAAGCCATGCTCCTCCATCTGGAGAGGCTACCTAGTGGGGTTCACTCTAGAGTGTGTACTGTTTGTATCTTTTGTCTTCGAGTGTGCGGTGTATGGAGTTTGTTGTATATGGTGTACTGTTTGAGTATCATAGTTATTGGTTTCCCTGACCTGGAGTACTAGTGGTTGATTGCAGTCTGAAGACTAGGGGATGGGGTTGACAAATTGTGTTATTGGTTTGTATTTTTGATTTTTTAACAATCTTTTTCTTAGATCATGTTGAGTGATGGGAATGCCTGGGGATCCACCTGTCTTTACTTTCTTAAAGTTTGAAATTCCAGGGAGAGATTTTTCCCTCTCAGACAGAGGGTATTATCAACTTGTTCATAGTCTTATACAGGTTTGGCTTGATTGATACTCTCATAGACACTTATCTAGTTGATAAAGAGGTGATATATGGACATTTTATGTTCTATTGTTTTTTTGAGAACCGTTCTAATATTGGAAATCTGTTAACAATTGACCTTCTTCAAAAACCTGATTAATAGTCTCCTATTTCTCTTTTGGCATATGGCCCAAGCTCATAGAAATGGATATTAAACATTACCTTTTATGGACATTTAATAAGGTAATACCTTGATAATTTTTTTCAATTGCCTCCATCCATCGTTTCCTCGAGATTTTTAGTTTTGTCATAGTGTAAAATGATGTTAGTAAAAAGTTAGGATTTTTCTTTATATTGACAATCCTGAAAAAGACACCCTTTTACATTTTTTTTTTCTTTTAATAAGAATTTCAGTTGAATGGATATGTTTTGTTTTATTTTTAGGTTTCTGGAGAGAGAAACAAGAACTGTATAGTTTAATGGGATCGCTTCATACATTTTATCCACGAAAGCTATATGTTGATTACTACAATGAAGAATTCGGCAAATGGTGCAAGGCTGTAGATAGATTCACTAAATGGAATTGAAGGAGTCATCAGTGTAAATAGTTGTTATAAATAGTTTATAATTGTTTAAATCAATAAAAAAATTGTTGATTATAATAGGTATATTTTTATGTAAATATAGCAACAAATCTAAGTTATAACGATACCTTCAACTGATAGTTTAAAAAATATGCCATCAAAATAAATGCTATATTTGGAGTTTTAAAGTTTAACAGTTTTATGTGAAAATATATATATATTCTTATTAAATTTCTCTGTTGTTTTATTAAACCATTTTAGTTTTAAGTAATGAGTTGGTGTATAGGAGTAGACAATTAACTAAGAAATAATAGTGTATATTTGATATTATATTGATTAAGTTTTTTTTTTCTCTTGGCCCAAGACGTCCATTGAAGTCCTATACTGTTTTGATTATGTTTCATGACATAAATAATGGTGTTTATGTTTTTCCTAATTCAATTTTAATGTATTTTTATAACTAATCCAGGCATCTTTAAAACTATAGTCTGATCAGTTTTCTATTGGTTATATATAAATTATACATACTCAAGCATTTTTGAAAGAAGACTAAGACGTATTGTTGAGGAGCAGTACTGAATTCAGTGCTGGTGGACAGACACTGGACCACATCTTTGTCATCAGAAGAGTAATAGAGTAAGCATGGGACCTTACTCGATCTGAGGAGGCTGCTTTTGATTCCATTTCAGGAAATATGGAATGCTCTTGAAATTAAAAAACTTTTCAGGAAATCTAATAACTGCAATAAAAGCAAATTATAAATTAGCAAAAGGGGTAGTACAGATTAATGGCATCCTCTCCTCCCAAAAAAAGGAAAATATTTTTATTCTTTCTTAATCCATATCTCTTTCTGAATGTTCTATGCCAAATATATAATAAATCCCGATATGTTCTTTTTTTAAATTATTACACACATTCTTCAGATACCAAACGCATCGCATTATTATTGTTCCAGTAATTATCATTATCATAAAAAAAAAAATTAACTCCATAAAATTGAACCCTGAATCCCTTACAGGTTTGGATTTGGGTAAATATCTTCATTTGCAACATCCTCAGTCCATCAGAAGTTCGTTTTATTCAACTAAGATCCTAAAAGTTATGTTGATGTTTTATCCTGCTGACGTTTATTTTAATTTTTTTTCGGTTAAAGACAGCGTGGAAAATGGATTTTAAGATTGGGGACTTGGAACGTCAAAAGGCTAAACAGGAAGAAATTGGAATTGGCTAAAGAGATAATGTCAGCAAAAGTAGACATATTGGGAATTACTGAAACTAAGAAAAATGGCAGTGGTGAAGCAGAAACACGGGAACACGTACTTATTTACTTAGGAGTAAACTACCAAGAGCATGGAAGAAGTGGAGTGTGGTGTATCTTCCATAAAAACATCTCTCATCTAATCAGGGACTGGAAAGCAGTTAGTAATAGTTTCCAGTGATAGTTTAGTGATGAATTTCCAGGAAAATCAAAAGTTATTTTATAGAACCACCCAAATGAAGAAAAAGAACCTCCAATAAAGCATATTAAAGACAAGCAAGGGAACATTCTTAGCAACCCAAAACACAGCATGAACAGATGGGCCAAGTACTTCGAGGAACTACTGGAAAATGACAGCAGCCAACAGCCACAGATAGTACAGAACCATCTGTTATGAATAGTCCAGGAGGAGGAGGACGACTTCATAAATGAAGATGAAATTGAAGAGGTCTTATCAAGCCTCAAATTAGGTAAAGCAGCGGGAATAGATAGCATCACACCAAAGATGATGAAATTCATGGGAACTACGGTACAAAAAATACTCCAACACCTTTTATACGTATTATGGAAGAACAAAGAAGTTGCAAGAGATTGGGAAGTATCTGTAATCATACCTATATTTAAAAAAGGAGGAAAGAGAGAGTGTCAGAACCACAGAGGCATATCCCTCCTTAGTGTTCCAAGCAAAATGTATTTCAAAATCCTAGAAAAACGCCTCAGAAACAGTGGCGGATCCGGGAATTTTCTCAGGGGAGGGGGTGCACCACTGCCCATTTCCCCCCACTCCTTAGCTGAGCTAAGCCGCTCAAAAGTCCTCTTTAAATGTTTTTAACAAAAGCAAACTCAAATTTTATTTAAAAATTTTTATTTAGAGTAAATTTTGACTAGTTTACAATGAAGCTATCATTAATTACTTAAATTAAATATATATATATATATATATATATATATATATATATTTTTTTTTTTTTTTTTTTTTATCACTTCCTATTGAACAAAAAACGTGACACATAAAAAATCACAAAACTTTAATTCCCCACTTTCCTGCTAAAAATCGAACCATTGTTTATATAAACTTTTTTTTGTTTATTGAGCTTTGCCATCACTCCTTTAAATATTTCTCTCTACTTACGAGACATCCTGTATATGGGTTTAGACATGTAAAAAACTGCTAACACAGGTCACTAAGAGAAAACTTTTAACTGCTGAAAATTCCCGATTTATCTGATCTTTTTTTCATGTATTACTACTAAACAGTGCATAAAAGCGAAAAACGTATTCTTTAAGACACTAAAAACGTCAAATTGTGTGTTGAACGATTATCTAAACTTAATAATTTGATTAAGGAATATGGTCAATAACTACGGCCAATGAACGCTAATTTTTACCGATATTGTCAAAATCTGACCTCGCGCGGGCTCATTACCGCGTATGGGGAGCGTCCCACGGGTGGCGGATGTGGGGATGGTCGGTGGAAATTCCTTGGAAGTTCCTCCCGGCTAAGTCCGATGGACTCGCTGACCAACAATGAGAGGGGCCCTCCAGACTTGCTGGAGGGAGGGGACCTCCAGACTTGCTGGAGGTAGGGGCCCACCAGACTTGCTGGAGGGTGTGACGTAGGATTGAACGCCCTACTCACATATCTTTAGTTCACCAAACACCACAAAAAGTCATGGATCTCCCTAAGGTAAAACGCTCATTATCCGGAGGTAAACTAGTCCCCCGTTCGGGTCTCCGGGTGGGGACTGCTTTAGGGGATTCATGGTGCAAGTTGAAATACAGGGATTTAAATATTGGTACGTGGAACTTAAGGAGTTTAAACACAGCAGGGGGGCTAAAATCGGTCGCGAATGAGGTGAATGGGTACAATTTGGATGTCGTGGCTCTGCAAGAGGTTCGCTGGCCAGGGGAGGGCTCGATGAGGGAAGGAAAGTACACTATTTGGTACGGAGGAAGCGGGAATCATTGTTTGGGTACCGGGTTTCTAATTAGGAGTAGATTACTATCCGCTTTGAGGGACGTACAATTCTTTAGTGATAGAATTTCGGTAGCTACATTTCAGGGACGTTGGTTTAAAATCGCATTAATAAACATACATTGTCCGACCGAAGACAGTGACGATGAAGTCAAAAGTGAATTTTACGATAAACTCGAATGGGTTTATGATAAACTACCGCGAAACTACATGAAAATAATTGTAGGTGACGCGAACGCAAAGGTAGGAAGGGAAGAAGTTTATATTCCGACGATTGGTAAAGAAAGTTTGCACGAATATAGTAATGATAATGGGATCCGTCTGATAAACTTTGCCATCTCGAAAAACCTGATAATTAAAAGTACGACGTTTAAACACAAGGATATTCATAAATATACTTGGACATCACCGGATTCGCAAACACGAAATCAAATCGATCAGGTCTTGATACAACATAGCTGGCAAAGCAGTATAATTAATGTACGGTCTTATCGCGGAGCAGAATGTGGATCGGATCATGAATTAGTAATCGCGAAACTTCGACAAAAACTTAATATAAAAAAGAGAAAAGAAAACCGTTTCGATTTTGAGAATTTTAATTTGGAAAAATTAAAAAATCCATCAATTAGAAACCAATTCGAGCTAGATGTTAAGAATAGGTTTGAAGCTTTAGAGCTTCCTGACGAGGACAACGAGGATATTGACAAGTTATGGATAGAGATCAGGGATAATATTAAAGCGGTCGGTAACTCGTGTCTAGGAAAAAAGGAAAATAAGAATAACAAACCGTGGTTTGATGAAGATTGCTTAAACATGTGTGAAAAAAGAAAAGCCGCTAAATTAAGAGCTCTAAATAATCCTAGCGAAGACAATCTGGAATACTTCCGAATCTCAAAGAACGAAACGACAAAATTGCTCAAAAATAAAAAAAGGGAGTATCTTAAAAATAAAATAATTGAAATAGAAACTAATAGAATCGAAAATAACGTAAGAGACATGTACAAAGGTATAAACAGATCACGTAAATATGTAGGGCCCGTAACGTCTGGAATTACGGATGATAATAACAATATTCTGACCGATCCGGTTGACATATTGAATAAGTTTAAGGACCACTTTGACAATATTTTAAATACGGGAAATTATGATCTGTGTCCTCCTTCTGAGTACCAGAGTGCTGAACCGTTAATAGAAGGACCAAGTAAAGTGGAAGTTGAAGTAGCTATCGGAAAATTAAAATCATATAAAGCAGCGGGAATCGATAATATTCCTACTGAACTAATTAAGGCATGCGGAGAAGCTGGAGTTTCTAAAATACATCGGTTGGTTAAAAAGATCTGGGTGAACGAGAAATTACCTAAAGAATGGAAAGAATCTATTCTTATTCCGATTCACAAAAAGGGTCCGAGGACGGATTGTAATAACTATCGAGGAATTTCACTCCTTCCGGTATGTTATAAAATATTCACTTTAATCTTAACCAGTCGAATCACGGAATACGCCGAGGAAATTATCGGAGACTACCAATGCGGATTTAGACGGAATCGTTCGACTATTGATCAAATATTTTCTTTACGGCAAATATTAGAGAAAAAATTGGAGTATAACGGTATTGTTCACCAGCTGTATATAGATTTTAAAAAGGCTTACGATTCTATTGACCGCCAGAAACTGTATAATATTCTAATCGAGCAGGGGATTCCAAAAAAACTAGTAAATCTAGTCAGGATGTGCTTGACGGAGACACTCAATAAAGTTAGAATCGGTAAT